GCTGCAATATAACAAAGAGTGAAAAATTTAAGGGGGTCTGAATACTTTCCGTACCCACTGTATATATATATATATATATATATATATATATATATATATATATTGTGATTTCCACAAAAATATTAAGCAGCATATTAAGAAATGTCAGCTTATTTGCATGTTAGAGTGACTTGTGAAGAATCATGTGACACTAAAAACTGGAGTAATGACTGATGAAAATGTTTACATTTGAGAATATATTAGAATAGAAAGCAGGTATTGTAATTTGTCTGCCGCCTTTCACATCACATCTCAAAATAGTCGCTATAGTGAAGGATTTGGGTTTAATGGGAATGCTAACAGATAGCATTCTTCAGTTTTTGTAGACCACCTTGTACACTTCTATTTCTCTCTGTTTCTCCTCGGGTATCTCTGACCCTGAAGCCTCCTGCTGTCTGAAGGAGGGAGGGAAGATAAAATGATGAAGGACGAACTTCTTATTTTGTTTCGCCTCTACAAATTTGTTCTCTCTCATAGTGAACTGATTAATTTCTGGGTGTTTAGATACAGGAACCACAGGTTGCTTTATTGACAGAGAGGCTTTGAAGTGGAGCTGGTTCCTGTTGGTTATAGGTTGTTTGTGAGTTGGTTTGTTCAGTGACGAACAAACAGCCTGGTCACTATGCATCTTCCCTGAAGGCTCATGCTCCACCTAGAACGATTGAGAACTCCACTCTCATTGAATTTTCCCCCTCATGAGGAACATATGGCTGGTGTAAAGACCCGATTTTCTCGAATCGATGCTGCAGCTCAGTAGACAAAAGCCAATGACTTGTCCTGCTGTCTCACTTTCTGAAATTGTCTCTCCAATGTAAGTGCACCGAGCAATATACTGGGGTGGCGTCATGATTCGATAATGAAGGCTGGGGTGATAATGTCACTCTATTGAAGCTTGGCTCTCTTCCCTGCATTTAAGCTGCATGCTGGTCGTACAACTCCATCCCCTTATTTACCTCGAGCAATGCTCACTCATTGATCTCTTAATTATTCTAGGAATCATTATCAGAGAGCGAGGTTTTGTTGACCCGTTTGGCTGTTAGACACGCAAGAGATGTCGGCCGGCCAACAGAAGTGCGCCGAAACGCTCTTGTCGTTGAGTTGTGTCGATGTGGATGCAGTGTATCCACTTCTGTGCCAACACCAACAGGTGTCCAATCCATTAGTAAGATTAGGGACAATTCTAGGATTTTAGTCCCACATGGACTCATTTAGGTAGTAATTATTCCCTTAATTGGAAGAGGATAGGAGTTTGAATCATGTTCAGCTGACTTAAAATACCTAATATTTCAAACATGTCCGATCTGACCTGTTTCAGCACTGACTAGAAGGATGAATAATATTTAATTATAAAGTACATTCAATGATTACTGAAGAATTCATGGCTATGTTAATCACAGATTTTTAGACGGGGCGGAGATGAAAGACCCTAAATCAACACCTTTTTGTTAGATAATACTTTGTCAATCAATTCAGAACCAGAGAGCTTTTGGGAAACTGTGGATATTTATTTTTATTTATTTATTTTTTGGTGCTCTGTGCAGATTCATATCTAAATCTGAGGTTGAAAGTTATTTCCACAGCTAAAAGGTGTCTTTGTGCAAACCCAAGATGTGTGTAGCTTAAGTGCCCTCTAGTGATCGGAAAAGGGTTGGTTGAACTTTACTATGAGCGCGCGCGCGCGTGCGTGTGTGTGTGTATGAGTGTGTGCGCACACATGTGAGCGTTTCACCCCTGTATCGCTCTGTCATGCACCCAGCTGCTAGACGCTCATATTTACAGGTCTCTCTTGCATTAATTTTTTTTATTTGTTGGGTGTTTATCTCAGAGCGAGCAGTAAAGCTGCTGACTGATGCCTCATCGCTTTCACTGTTTCTCTCTGCTCGCCTGCTGCCTCGCTGGGCTGTCATCTCCAAGGCCCAGCCGCTCCAGTCGCGGTAATAAGAAACCCATCCATGTAGAATTACTCCACAACCCTGCAGATTATTTTCCCTTAGTGACAGAGAAAAGATAGAAACAACAAAAAAGGCAATTTACAGCTTGCTGGAAAGAGTCATAACTTACCTGTGAGGCCTCTCTCCTTGAAACAGCTTTTTTTCCCCATCACTTAAAACAGCTGTGCTGTGAAGTAGCGACAGGTTAAAGCTGATTGTGGGCTGTGCTATTTATTAGGTGTGCAAAACATGAGCTAACAATGAGGAACCTGCCACGGAAGAAGTGTGCGAGATGTTTAGTAAAGCCAGACACTCGTTTGCATGTTTTAGCGGGAGATCATTTGTACAGTCTTTATGTTGTCCACATTTGGGCACACACACACCTTTCATATAGTGAGAACTGCTTTAAATGTTCTGACAATTCACTTTTTAACATGTTTTACTATGATTATATGACATTTTCCTAAATTTGACCTTCACATGTATAGCTATACATACAAATAGTGACGTGACATGACATGACGTGACATGTGGCCAAGTATGGTGACCCATACTCGGAATTAGTGCTCTGCATTTATCCCATCCAAAGTGCACACACACAGCAGTGAACACACACAAACCGTGAACACACACCCGGAGCAGTGGGCAGCCATTTTTGCTGCGGCGCCCGGGGAGCAGTTGGGGGTTCGGTGCCTTGCTCAAGGGTACCTCAGTCGTGGTATTGAAGGTGGGAGAGAGCGCTGTACATTCACTCCCCCCACCTACAATCCCTGCCGGTACGAGACTCGAACCCGCAACCTTTGGGTTACGAGTCCGACTCTCTAACCATTAGGCCACGACTAGAGGAAGATAGATTAGCATTGTAAAACAAATACAGTTTTTCTCAGTTGCTACAAAAAACAGGAAAACATATAGTTTCATATTCTGTAACATAGCGCATTTCTGTACTATAAGGAATTAAATTGATTGTTATATATTTTGTAATTATTCATCATTATTATTATTGTTATTATTATTAATTATAATTTTATATCATTGTGTGTTTTAATTCTTAAAGCACTATAAATCTTGCATAAATTAGCCTAAAACAGGGTAATTATAGTTAATTAAAAAAACAAATAAAATAGTCATTTTCATTACTTTAAATAAAACATGTTAATTTAAATAAAATAAATTAAAATATATTTAAAAAATAAATAAAAATTATTTCAGCCAAGGAAACTTTTCTCATTTTATTTAATTTAACTTGATGTAAATAACTAAAACAAATAAAACTAACTGCAAACTAAAACTGAAATAAAATGGATAAAAAACTATATAGACATAAACTGCTAAAATGACAACAAAAACCCAACAAAAATTTACTAAAACTTTAAAATTAAAGCTGAAAATATAAAAATAACCGATTCAAAATATTAATCAAAACTATAATACTATGTCAGTGAAACTAAAATAACACTGGTCTGAAAATATATTCTGTAGCTACCTTACATAAAGGATATTTGTGTTGTTTAACATTGAATTATTGCAGGTTTGCGTCGTATTCTGAGTTGCATTATTTTTATTCATTTTGAGGAATACTGAATCTGTGTTTTTTTTGTTTTTTGGGGGGTTTTTTTTGTGAGTGAGATGAATTAATGCATATTCATATTTATTTTAGAACCACAGTGACATCTTCTGATTTCCCTCAACATGGGGACAGGAGAGCTGTCAATCAGTAAATTGGAAAAAAAAGTAACTTGCGTTACGTATTTGAAAAAGTAACTCAGATATTCTCTTGTAAATTAAAAAGTAATGCGTTACTTTACTAGTTACTTGAAAAAAGTAATCTGATTATGTAACTCGCGTTACTTGTAATGCGTTACACCCAACACTGGTCTTTGGCATTACATTTTTTTTTTTTAAACCCTAGTTTTAAAGTGTTAGTGTAATAGAATGGCTAAACAATTGAGGAAAAACTGAATATGGTGTGACTTTTAAAAGGTTATTACGTTGTAGATCTGGGAGGGTGTGTTAGTGTGTGTGTGTGTGTGTGTGTGTGTGTGTGTGTGTGTGTGTGTGTGTCTGTGTCTGTGT